AGTTTCTCATTCTCTAATAGGTCATTTTCCAGTAGGCACAGTAAATTCAATCCAGGGCAGTAAAAGGCCAAATACTCGCCAACACCTTGCCTATCCCTTCCCACAAGTTTGCTTATGGGATATCTCCGAGAGGCCAAAGCTCCCTGACAGCAGCCAAGACCCACTGGAAAAAATAATGTTATTGTTATCTGTGAATGGATCTAAGGTTGGCATGGCCAATTGCCAAGAGGGGCTGAGTCATAAAAAAGACCAACTGCCACCATATTTCTCAAGCAAAATGGCCAACGTTATAATGATTCACCTAGTTTTTGCCTACAGGGGTTGCAAGTTTCCCTCTTTGACGCTTAGTGTTGGTGTCTGTGTGTCTGTTGTCTTTCAGCTCACCCTGAATGTATCTCAGAGTATTAATAGTTACAGTGGGATGAACTTGAAACTAACTGGCAGATTTGTGAGGAAACTCCTCTCACCTGACCCAGGAAAAAGTTAGTGGAAACCAAGGGACCATTTAAGTTGCTGTCTCTAAACCTAGTTCCTGATACTTGGCTGCAACCACGACTCCATTCACCTCTCGTGAACAGCAAAGTTGAGGACGATGTATCATTACATCGATCATAAAATTTGGTCAACAGGTTTGTCAGCAATACTTACCGATGAACTTCCAATTCTGTTCATGGGTCATAAAGCCCTCATCCTCTTCCAGAAAGTCAGGTCTTTGTCAGCATCCTACCTTCGTTTCCAAAAACTGTCAAGAACTATGAAAGGTCCGAGATTTTGCTCTATTGCAAATTAACCAGCTAGCCTACCAGTTTCAGGAACACTGGTAGAAGATGAGACTCCTAGATCACAAAGCACTTTATTACTCACACAGTACAATAAGCAGCACGACAATCAGCATACTTTAAATCAGTTCTCCCTTACACTCAAGCCCCAGAGGCATGACCTGAATAGGCCCAGAAGGATGCCTGCACATGGCAATGGTTGCATTACAGGGGGGAACCTTGAGCTTAGGGAACCTAAGTATTTTATAAAGAGTAGTAAGCATGCCTTTTACTCCGGAGGGAAGATTCTGTCTTTCAAGTTTGCATGCAAACTTAATCTCTGCTCTGGGAGTTAAAAGGGAGGAGGATGCAGAGGAAGGGACGATACTACCTAAAGTTTGCTCACTTTACAAATATCCACAGGAAGCCAAGTGCCTCGCTCAGATAGATATGTAGAGAAGCAAGAGATCTATGGAGAATTGCTTCTCAATAGGCACAAATTGTAGAAAAATGCAAAAATAAATAAATAATAATTTGCTTTTTGTGCTGAGATCAGAATTTTGGTGAAATAATCTGGTCTATGATTTGCGCACACACATCGAGGGACTCACAGATTTTTAAAGTTCACAAATAACAACTCTGACCATCTTGACCCACTTCACCAGCTTACACCACATTATTTTGGCAGCCCATCAAAGCACAACTCCAATGTCGTAAGTACTATTTACAATCTTTTTTTCCTCAGCCTGCTTTTTTCTTTTCTTTTAATTTGACTAACTTCGCACGTAAACCCGGCAGACCTTCATTACTGGGTGTTAGCCAAAACAGGGTTCTTCTGATACATCCCCAGGAAAGAGTCAGGGAGGCTTGCTTAAAGGAGAGATTTTAAAGTCAGGGGTCAAAAATGAGTTCCTTTTTAGGCAATTCAGTCTGGCATCATTACAACGTGATTATCTTAGTAAGAACTTTTAAGTTCTAGGACAAAAGTCTAAGCGTATCCTAAGATCCCAAGAAATAAAATAAGGCCAGCAGTTGCATAAGGGAAGCTGACATATTAACATTCATCTTTTAGGCCCCATTTTGTTCCCTGACCCAGGCTTCTTAACAGACTCTCTTGACAGTTAAACCTCCAAGTCCCTAAAAGCCTGTCTCCAATGGCTTTTAAAGGAAGGGATGAGAGCCAAATTCCAGGTTGGCCTCAGTTATGTCTAAATGTCAATTTGCTTATCCCACATAGTGAAACATGTGAACATCCTGAGGCAGACCTCTTTTAGGGGCCTGGCATCGGGTTCCCTAGGTTTTTCACCCCAAAGGATAGATAGGAATTTGCTGTCTCCATGATTCAATGGCAAGACAGAATCACAGATATGTTTACCATTCCATTATAAATCTTTACACGCTAGACCTTATGTTCTCAAACCACTGTTTTAGGGAAGAGTTCAATGTTTTAGGAAAGCACAAACACCATCAGTCTAGTGTTATTGTGGCCATGTGTATGTTCTGGATCATGGCACTTTTTTTCGTTTGGATTACAAACCACATTACTTGATAAATATCTGAGAATGATGGGAGAGGGTGAGTTGGAAACGAAAGTAAACTTCATTTACTCTATGAATACAACCCTTCTAAGAAACAGGATTTTTGCAAATATTTAACAGTTTTCTAAATAACTTTACAATAGAGCAGAACAATATTCTTGCAAAAAGAGCCAACATTCTTATTTTGGTATAATTTATTCTCTTTTGGTCAAATAGGTCAAAAGTAAGGTCATCAATTTTCTTGACAACACCCACCTCCATTTCCACTCCTACAATGCATTAATGAATTTATTTATGCCCTGCTTTATCTACAAAGTATTTTCTTCTTATTAGAACTATTAACATCAGCTTAGTCCCACTGTGCTTTTTCAAGGGAGAGTTATTGAAATAGCATGGAAAGAAGATAATTTCCCAAAAAAGTCACCTTCAGTTTTTAACAAAGAAACCTTATGTTTCATTCCGTATCTCTTTGGCTAAGCAGCACTTGATAATATTTCCAGCATAAGATGTCATCAGTTCTTCTAACACCAAATGACTAAGACCTTTTATTCAAGAGCCAGATTTGCTTATATTGGCATCTAGATAACACAATATTAACATCTAATTTCCTGATGTTAAAAAAGTCAAATCCGTGTTTGAGTATATAACATATTACCTTAAAAGTTATTTCCATGTCTTAAACTTTTAAAGCACATTTTTGTACCCAATAAAATAAACACACGCTCTACAATTTATCCAGTGATGTTAACTCATACTCTACCTTCCCGTACCAAACTTGAAATAAGGTTTCTTAGTTATAATCACCATAATTTTTAAATTCAGTATTTGAGTGAGTTTTCTCAACAGAAAAAGTGTCAATTCTGACTTACCTCTCAGAGCTTAAACAGTTTGTAATTGTTTTATTGCTCAATCCTTGTATTTAAAGAATTAGTCATGAGGAAGTCAGTGGCGAACTGGCCCAAAGTTAGGTCATCCCGGGCGGGAAGTGGCTGAGAAAATTGTAGCAGATTTTAAACTTTTCAAAATCTGCTGGCCACTTTGGCTAAACACACCAAAGACCACCTACTCCACTATTTCCTCCCAGCCACCACAGCAAAAAAGGAGAATCACCAGAATGGATAGAAAGGAGGCATTTCTGATGAAACACCACCGAGGTAACCATTTGGAGTTTTTATGGATATTTAATATATGCCAGAAACAAAATTATAGATTTCTTATATTGTAAACATTAAATAGGCCAGTCTACAGACCACCTAGGAGTCCTGCACAGACTGTACTGTAAATTCAAACTATAAGACTATCTGAAAGGCAAGCATTTTGCTAGGTGATATTCCTGCTGTAAGCACATGAGAAATACAGCAGTAACACAGAAAACTAAATCAATCCTGAAAAGGATCTGCTGGAACTTGTACAGAAAGTAATAAGATCCTGATGCCAAAAATTAAATCTCTTAAAAAAATAAATGATAAGAAGGCTTGAGACCTTTGCTCTAAAATCAAAATTAGTTGGAAGTGATCAGGTTTTGTGTTCATTTCTGAGTACCAACTTTAACATAAATACACAGAATTATACTCTGAGGCTTGTAATGTTTCAGGAACGAGAAACTGAACTTACTGATAAATATAAAATTAAGCTTCACAATAGGAATAATTAAAGTTTCAAAGAACTCCATTAGTAGTAATAAGAAATAATTTGAATTTCTCTTTGAAATGTTGGATAACTTTTAAGGACAAAGTGACTAAAATTAATGTTACAACTTTCCAGGCCATTTGGACTCATTTTTGCAACAACTCAAAAAGGAGACAAGCTAAAATCTCATATCCCATATTGAGTCAGCGACAAAGCTTCAAACTCACCTGCCAGATAACCTCAGAAGACTTTATATAAGATGGTTTGTAACAGAAATACTGAAAATAAATCATCCTTGAATACTTTTAGATTTTCCCCAGCGTACCACAAATCACATCCAGAAACCCAAACAGATATAATCACTGAGACATTTGAGATGCACTGTTGAAACCCAGAGCTGCAAGACAAGACAAGGAGACAGCACGAAGCAGGTAGCCTGACATCTCTTTGCTTGGGCAGCACTGGGCTTCGGAAGTCCTAAGCCAAACACGTTAGTATCGTGAGTCCATAAAAGTCAGTAGTAACACTAAAATAATAATAACATAAATAAAATAGGCTCTGGTTAGAGAGAGAGGATCCGTTTACTGCCGCCCTGCTGAGGTACATCTGACCACCAAAGGAAGGAAAGCTATTAGCATCCTGAATTAATGGGTATAGTGGTTTTCAAACAAGATATTTTCATGATGGACACAATGTGGACTCAGCAAAGTTTCTCCTTCAAGAAAAATATAGCTTCTATTTCAAAGGGCACTGATTAGGCTTAATACCATTAGGGAACCATCAAGGATTTGTGTTGTTGTTACTGCTTGTAACTATCAGTTACTTTCTAAACCAAAAATTGTGGGTCGTTAACTTGACCAACAGTCAAAGTTTAGGAATGCAGGGACAAATCCAAGGTACAGAGGAGCTTCAGTTGTGGACAAAGCCTCAGGAGTTTGGGATCTTTTCAGGTTGTCAAGTCTTAGCCCTTCGGATCATCACCATTATCACTGTTATAACTTCCTTGCCTGGACATTCTAAATAAAAATTCATCTTCCTAATCACACCCCCCCCTAAAAAAGCATTAAACACGACACAATTTTAGAAAGTCTTTATAAGGTTTATAAGTGACAATGTAAATCAATATAACCAAGAACCAAATTAAAAAGTCTACCTAATGAATAAGTTCTTAATAGCTATTAATTGCTTATAACATTCCAGCAAATATGGTTAAAAAGTCAACAATATTAACTCCCTTTATAGATTAATTGTAAAAAAAACCAAACAGTTTTGAGTCCATCTCCATTAATACTTGAAAGTACAAATATAAATTAAATAAGGTTCAAAAGACTATATAACACATACAACAAAATAGTTTATAAAACAAAGAAAACTTTAAAAGAACTGCTCAATTTACTTTGTAACTTTTTTTATATAAAATATTTTAAAGCAGGGCATATTTTCTGGATCATACATGGAAGATCACATCCAGACGTCTTTTCTATCAAATCTTTATTCTTTCTTCACTGTCAAAATCTTAATGTTCATTCCTGGGTTGATTTTTCTTCCTTGGCAATTCTTTTTGTTACTCCACTAAAATATTTTTCACGGAAGGAATTATGACCTTGGTATTGTAGAAAACGATCACTTAGCAGATGTGAATACTGGTCCTGATTCTGTTTGGTTGGAAAATACAAAATATAAAGATATTTAAGTTATTTCCCTAGCTAACTTGCAACCAAAGCAGTCATTTACTCTAAGTAAAATCTCACTCTGGGGTGCACACTTGTTTTTCTTTATAATCTGAATTAGAAAGATACCATTACTTTACATCCACATCATGCTTAGATATCCAAAGTGTTTTCACTTACTTTACCTTATTTGAGTCTCACAAAAATCCTCTGCACAGAGGACAAAAACTTTTTTTTTATTTAGAGAGGGCAAAGAGAATAGCTCCAGGTAACACAGCCAGGACTCTAACTTTCTTCTGATTTCTAATTCAGCACATACTGACATCATCTGCACCTATGAGTAAGAATGATCAAACAAGGAAGCTTCTCCTCAAGAGAAAGGTGTGAAAAACAAAAACAAAAACAAAACAAGAGAAAGTGTGTCCCAACAAACTATGGCATTTGTATGATGTCATATAGACATACAAAACTGTGTGGGGCCATATCCATACTCGGTTGATTAAATTAACAATTCCCGGCAACTTAAAGTAATCATAAGGCATGAAGACATAGACTAAAAAAGACATTTCTACACTTTTAGACGTAAGCCCAGTAAGGACTGGTACTCAGATTGACATTTAATTAAAACATGAATCTGGATTAGAATGTCAAACATATTTTGGCTTAGAAAACTGAGGTTTCAGCTAGGAAACACTGAAACATCAGCTTCTCATCCACTTTCACTAACCAGTTCAAACTGTGAATAAACCCATTAAAAATAAAATCTCATGTCCCATGCACTTCTGAACATTTATATTCAATTACACGTGAATTAATGTGATTTTGAGGCCAGGTGTAGACACTATTATAAAACACAAAGCCTAAAATTTTATCCTGACTTCAGTATCAAAATGACAGCTAAAAAAATTATATACATAATACATGTGGACTATAACAATCCTAAAAGTATTTTTTGTATTTTTGCTTATGCCTGGGTAAGAGCTTTCCTTCCCCTCTATCTAACATTAACAGAAATCCTGGATTAGCCAAAACAATGTTGGTTCATTTGCTTATTCAGAAATTGTTTTTGCCACACATATTTTTAAAATCACACAAAAAACCCAAATTATTAAAAATTAAGCAAGCCCAAATTCCTGATTCATTACAAATAAATAGGTGGCTATTTAAATTTTATTCACGAAGTATATATTACAGTTTTAAAATCCTGAAAGCACATGAAAATATGTCAATGTTTACTAACTTCAGGCTACATACAATCCCCCAAAAGGTAAATTGTACGTAGTCAACCTATAGGTATACAACTAAAGATACCAAATGAAAGGTAACATTTGCCAGATATTTATTATGGGCCCAAAACAATACTAAATGCTTTATATGCATATCTAGTAAAACTCATCAGCTCTGAACAACAAGTGCACTATTACTACCATTCTACAGATTGAGGGCTTATTTAAGAGGACAGGCCCGAGATAATAGCAGGTAAGTGGTGGAGCTGGGGTTTGAACACAGATCTGTTTCAGATCTGCACCAGCAATCTTCACTCTTAATGACAAAGTACACAATAAGGTTTTCTCCAAAAGAACTACACTTTTAGCCGGGCTTGGTGGCTCAGCCTATAATCCCAGCACTTTGGGAGGCTGAGGTGAGTGGACTGCCTGAGCCCGTGGGTTCAAGACCCGCCTGGGCAGGTGAGACCTCATCTCTACAATAAATCAAAAAAATTAGCCGGGCGTGGCAGCACGCACCTGTAGTTCCAGCTACTGGAAGGCTGAGGCGGAAGGATCGCCGGAGCCCAGCAGGTCGAGGCTGCAGTGGCCGGGAGCGGCCACTGCACTCCAGTCTGGGCTACGGAGTGAGACTCCAACTCAAAAAAAAAAGAACTAGACTTTTCCCTGACTCAAGAAGCAGGAAGAGCCCTGAGAATGAACAGGTGATGGACTGAGCTCTGACAGTTGAGCTGCCCACCAAGAAAGAAACAGAACTGGATCAAAGTCTCAGAGTCACAGTTCTACTGAGAGGATGTATTTCAACAAACTTTCATACGAGAGGAGCTGCAAGGAGCCACAGAGATGCTGAGGGACAGCAAGACTCGAGGAGCACAGCCGGCCTCGCAGGTGGGCTTAAGTCTGCTTCACATCTCAGGATGATGCAAAGATAACAGCAACACAGAACAAGGCTCCAGCACTGAACCTCAACTGCTTCCTTTCAACTTTTCAAAAGTCTGACTGAAGTCACAGGAAAGAGGACATGCCATCAACGACTCCTCCAGGTATTCTAAACTCTGTCCTTAGGTCAAATAAGATCACTAGAAAACGTGTCCTCTTCCTGAGCTGCATTAGCTTGATCCCAGCAGGCTGTTTTTCCTCGGGTTCTATTTTAAAGCTGTATCCAGATGTGTCGTCTCTGCTGCACTATCTGTCTCCTAACAGTCCTTGGCATCATTCTCCACCCAGGCATCAAAATCAGAAGCCTGGGACGAATTCTTTCTTTTCTTCTCACATTCTGTCGGTTCTACAACCTTAGCTTGGGTCCCCTAAAGATCTCAGATCCCCTTCTCTCCACCCACAATTCCAGTCCTTTAACCCAGGCCCCCTCATCTCTTCCTTCCCCAAACGCCCCGCTGTCCTGCCGTCAGTGGGTCCCGCTCCAGTCTATTCTCCAGACCGAGACCGAGACCAATGCATTAAAATGCAAAGTTAAAATCCAAGTGAGTTGAAATTTCCCCCAGTCCTCGGGCTTTTCTCTTGACACGTGGGAATTTGATTCAGTTACACACCAGCTTGCTGAAGGGCACCTCACTTTCCTGTACAGGAGTCTGAACATGGTCAGGCAGTGAAGTCCCCAGCTCTACCCTCCTGTGCACTATTCACCCTGTGGCCCCTCCAGGCCGTAGGACCACCTCCCCCTTCGAGGGCACTGGGGCCTTTTCGACGAAGCATCCTAGAGGGGCAGTAGTGAGGAGGACGCGGAAGGAAAGGAGCCTGCGATTCCAGCAGATGGACACAGGCTCAGTCCCGGTGTGCCAGCTGACCTCACTGCTGTCAAGCGTCTGACAAGAGGGAGGAGGAAGGCAAAGGCCAAAGCACAGTGGAAAATGGACTTCCTTCGTGGACCAAAGCGAGAGCATAACAAACAGCGTGGCCTTGACTTGAAGGAGAGACACAGGCAAATTGGTAATAAAAGCAGAGAATATAAGGCTCAGAGTCAGACACTGGGAGTGGAGAGCAGATGCCCGAAACACCCAAAAGTAAAGGTAAAAATCTATGCTACCTAATGGTTATCAAGAAAACACTACTGTTTATGATATCCTTACTGGATTCCCTCAGACTAAAGTAAAAGCAAAATAAGCCCTTGACAGAATGTGTGCTGTGTTCGATGCTCCAGGGACACGGTGGTAAATACAAGCTACTGGAGAAGCTGGCAAAGACCATGACCTTAGAAATGCAACCTCTGGGGGGAACTGTATTTTCCTTATTTCCCAGGTAGTGGAGAAGAATCCGGGTATTTGTTTGGGCCCTGTGCTGAAATATTCCCTTTCTTCAAGACCAACTGTCTCCTGACTGAAACAACATTTACAACAGAAACTGAAAAAACCTGAAAGCCCACATCCCTTGTCTTGCCAGGGACCTGGCAAGAGCCAGTCCTGGGAGCCCAGTCCTACTTCAGGACAAGCCAGGCACTCCAGGGACTTGGGCTACGATTTTCACCTAAGTGGGAAGGCCAGGGTTTATAAAAAATTCCTCATGAAAAATGCAGTCGAACTATGGTCTAACACATATCATTACATACAATCATACCCATAAATGCCATGTACCTATGAACAATACACAGGTAAAATATACACTGTCCATATGAAACAGACTGTACTAGATGCAGCCTTCAGAGTTTACGTCACCCTAACACCAAAGAAACTGGCAAACTGGATTTTTGTTTCCTCCTCTCCATCTCTCTCTCATCCTGTCTTTAGTTTAGTTGGCCAGACTTACACTCAAGAGGATGCTGCTCAACTCGACGTATTTTTCGTCACCTTCTCATGACTCTTCTCTATTCACATTCCCAGCTCATCTCGGCCAGGAGTGACAGCAGGTTTTCTTTTTCAACTCAGCATCTCCGAACCAAAGTCTGCTTAAAAGGGGAGGAGCATCCTCAAGCAACACAGTCTTTGGTCTCCCTCATAAACTCAAGCTTGCCCCAGTGTTTGACTTTGGGTTTCTAGAACATTTCCAAGTCTGTCTATCACTATCCATCACACCATCGACGTATCACAAAACCTGAGTTCTGCCCATTTTGGTCAGCGAGAAATGCCTGACAGAAAATAAAATCACATAATTAGGAAATGCCAAGAGAGAAACCTACGGTGATAAAAGATTACAGAACACCTTTCCCAAATTTTTGAGCTATTAGTAGTAATAATGGAGATAGGAATAAAATACTAAGGCTACTGATTACATTATTATATTTTTTATAACCAGAGGTTAAGAGATTCTGTAGGAAAATCTGTGGTAGCCACAAATGGCTACATAAGGGAAATATTCAGCTTTCAGACCTATCATTAATCCATGTATTGCAATCAGTAACTGTAAATATTACAATAAATATGCAAGTTATGATTCAAAAAACTAATTATATTTGCTACCAACTGTTTACATAAGTTGATTATTTGATTTTCTGCATCTTTTCACAGCAGATTATTAACTAAGTTTTGCAGGTGGGGAAACAGGGGCCAAGAGACCTGAGCCAGCAAGTACTGCACATAAGCAATAGGCATTGCCAGAACTGTACCCTAAATCAGTCTTCAAAGCGCATGCTTTTTCCATTATGATGTTTTTAGTAGCAATTGCATCAAAACAACAGCTAAAGAGTTAATTTCCACAGAATGGATTCGAGGGTTGTGCAAAACGGAGCCTGACATTTAGAGGACATTCCTCACTGAACAGCAACACGATGGTAGCACACATTTCAGATCTAGACTTTTAGACAGAACC